TCTGGGTGGTGCAAACAGTTATTGTGCTCAGCTACTAACTGAAAGGTTGGAGGTTCAAGTCCACCCAGAGGCACCTTAGAAGAAAGGCCTGGTGATCTACTTCTGAAAAATCAGCCATTGAAAACCCTATATGAAGCACAGCTCTGACACACATGGAGTCGCCATGAGTCAGAATCAACTCCACAGTGTGTGTGTGTGATCTAATCCAGCCTTAACAGGAAGCGGGGAGAGTGGTCGGTCAGCTCAGGGTCAGCAGCCTCCAACTCTGCTTCTCTCCCTACTCCCCTGCCCTCACCCCCGGGGGGTGGTTGGGGGTGGAGTGGCCATCATAGAATAAACTGGGCACAAATCATGAACAGAAAAGGCTTCATCGTTCTCCTCTTCCTACAGTGGCACTGCTGTTACAAATCAATAGGTTCAAATCAACTGCTTCACAGGATGGGTTCAAGGAAGGTGATGTGTATTACAACCCTTAGAAAGTGACAGGGGGCTACTCAGACGTAAATTAGCAGTGAGTGTAGAGAAACCACCAGCCAGGGAAGTCACTGAGAAGTGATTCAGAGAGACCCCAGTTATGCCCTCACTCACTACAACAGGAGAAAATGGAGGATACATTGTACTTGGCCACCCTGAATGGAGCAAAATGGAGTGAGCAGTGGTGGAGAGTAGTAACCAGCCTGGGGGACAGTTCACTTCTCATCTGATGCTTTCATCCAAACTGAGGCATTTTCAGAAGGTATTCATAGGGATACGAAGGGTATAAAAAATTCCTTAGTGTCTGGCGTGTCAGCCTCTGTGCCAGGTGCTGGGGGGTCAGGGACAAGTAAGGTACCACCCTTGCCTTCAAGGGCCTCCATGGCTGTCAAGGAGACAAAGCCGCCATCACAATACTGCAGTGCGCTAAGCCCTGAAGCAATGCGTAATTATAAGCCCAGTAGGAACATCCAAATCAGGACAAGCGGAGGAGGGAGGTCACAGAGAGGTTCCAGTGGGTGATGCAGGAGCTGACTTTTGAATAGTGGCCTGACTTAATCAGGTAAAAGCCCTTAAAAGGGGGACTGGGACTTCCTTGAGGTTGGAGACTCTCCTTGCAGGCTTGATAAAATAAGTGGTCATGCTGGAGAAGCTCACAGGACAAGGAAGGTGGGTGGTTTCTAGAAGCCAAGGGCAGCATCTAGCTAACAGCAAAAAGCCGGGCCCTCAGTCATGCAACCACAAGGAAACGATTCTGCCAACAACCTGAGGGAGCTTGGAAGCAGATTCTTCCCCAGTCGAGCCTCCAGGTGAGAATGCAACCTGGTCCACACCTTGACTACAGCCTGTAAGATCCTGAGCAGAGGACCTAGCTAAGCTATGCCTGTACTCCTGACCCATGAAAACCGTAATAGAGTAAATGTGTGTAAACTGCTAAATTTACGGTAATCTGGTAAACTGCTAAGTTTGCAGTAATTTGGTGAGGAGCAGTAGAAAACTAATACAATATCCAAGGCTCCTGGGGGTGCCACCTGGAGAACAGTTGGGGAGCAGGAGGAGGTGATAATAATAGCAGCTAGCATTTACGAAGTACTTAAGTGCCAGATGCTGTACTAAGATTTTACATGGCTCTGATTTAATCACAACAGTAAATCGAGTTAATTGCCCATTGTGCAAAGGAGTCTCCCTTTTGACAGAGGTGGGCAGGCCAACTCTATGTTTAGCAGTATACAGTCCCTCTTCCTTCCTCCCCAAGTCCAGCAAACAATCCCCAATCAGAAAGCATGTGATTTGTGCTTTAGAAATTCCAGAATCTGTGGACCCTTAATCAAGGACTTTATTCCTTTAGATACCGCCAGCTGGATTTTTCAAGTAGCATGGAGCCTACTGAATTTTATGTATCAAGCAGAAAAAAATGAGCCGCCAGACACTTCCGGGCTCATCTTCTGTTAATTTTCCATGAAATGACTCTTTGAAGTGCAGGCAAGAAAGATGAACACACATTTTTCATTACTCAGAGAAGTTTTATTTAAGTGGACACACTGTGTAGAACTAAAACACTGTTTTCACCTTTATCTACAGACACAGCAGCCTTAGTTTTCAGCAGTTCATCCCTGTTTAAATGGGAATGCAGAGTGGCCAAGTGACTTATTTGAGAAATACGAAATCTACTAGTGGGAACCACCAAAATGCAGAGCTTTCAAGATTCTTGTGCTTTGTAATGGAACATTTTCCAGCACCATGATTCATTCTCATTTTTGGATCTCTGTGGAACAGAAACCAAGACAGTCTTAATTTTTTAAGTTATTCTCCTCACGTTGGCACATTCTTTCAAAATGGCACGGCAAAAAGAACAAGTATATTTTTCTTTAAAAGTTTTTGAAGAAATTCAGTCATTAAAAAGAGCTTCAATTCCACCTAGAGCACCATTTAAAGAACACCATTAAACTGTAATGATGGCACTTTTAGAAAAGCCAACTTGTTAAACAGGAGCTAATGGTTTCCGTTTTTCCGTAGGCAACACTCCTAACACTGCAGAATTCTACAAGGATGTTCCTCCCCTTGTGGGCAGAGAAAAAACACTCAAAAAGCATGGGAAACTTTTATACTCTTCACAAATCATTACCAACCAAGCTTCATGCTTTAAGTGACACAGTATTTTCACAGAAGAACCCAGAAGTACATTTCATTTAAAGCAACAGGGCAAACCATTCTCAAATTAACATCTATTACATTCCACATGACACGATACTATCTTTGTCAATCTTTTAAAAGGGTTTCACTTGTGAAAAGTAGGGCCAAAATGCCAATGATTGCCCAAAAGGAACTATTTAATCTCACTGCCCTCAGATGAAACCTCAATTACTGGTAATAGCTCATTTCAATAAACATCCCTTTTCAAGAGGATGTAAAATTACCAAGACTAGATACCTTCGAAACTTGAATTTCCCTAATCATTGCCAGTCAACACTGAACCTGTATTAAACTTGGAACATAGTCACGACTTACTGCATAATAAAAAGCTAAAGCCTATTGCTTCTTCTATGTAGAAAACTACTCATTTACAGAAACATTCCTCTCTCTACCAAGTAGCTAACTGAGCCTCCCCTCCCCTGCAGAGGACCATTTGTCTTCTAAAATCAAATCACAGTTGCCAACAAAATAGGCTTTATCTTAATGGTTTGCTTGCTAATTCATTAATTCAACAAATATTTACAGAGTGGCTATTACACGCCAGTCTGTTTTAGGAGCTTGTGATAAAGCAGTGGATATAAAATCCCATCTTTTTTGATCTTCTATTTACCCCAGACTGGCAATACGGAGTCCCCGGGTGATGCAAAGGGTTAATGAACTTGGCTGCTAACCGAAAGGTTGGAAGTTCGAGTCCATCCAGACGTACCTTGAAAGAAAGGCTTGGTGATCTACTTCTGAAAAATGAGCCACTGAAAAAATCCAATGGAGCACACTTCTACTCTGACATACATAGGGTAGCCACGAGTTGCAGTGGATCCAAGGGCAACTGGTTTGGGCAATAAGATAAATAAACTAAGCAATGAATCCATTTAAAAAGGTGTAAAACAATTCTCCTTTAAGAGCTGAACTAATTTTCACCAGAGCAAGGACCACAGTGCCATGCTCCCAGGTAGGAGAGGATACTCAATAAACAGGTAATTTCTACAAATGAAGACATAAACCAACAACACCCACCATGCACTTCGAAGTTTCTAGCTTTCTCATAGTACAAAATAATACGACGAAGCATTTTACAAATGTAATGGCTACCCTCCCACATTCCAGTGAGGCTGGCCAGGGGCCATTATTTGAATCTGGAAGGAGACAATGACTTGTGGCTGGGGAGAGGACAGCAGTTAATGCAGGCTGCCTGACCATCCAAGGCCGCTGCTGCCCACTCTCATGTTGACCTTGTTCCATCTGACTCTGGAGAATGAAGGCCATTACTCAAAAGGTACAGTTCACTCAAAAGTATGGAAACATGACTTCGCTAAGCATACTTACAGCTGAGTCTTATTGTTGGAAGGAGTAGCTTTCACAAGGGCAAAGGGAGCCCCCTTTCTCTGAGGGGGGTATGGCCTTCAGCCAGTAGAGCACAGCTTCTCAACCAGGATGCAGGGGCTGTAACAACCTCTGAAGGTGCATTTAAAATGTCATGTATCTGATGAGTAGGTCCATCATCACTTTTAAAGGAGTCTCAAGGGAGTCTGTGACCTCCCAAAAGTTTAAGAACCTCTACATTAGAGAGAGGGTCTCTGCTTGTCCCTTGGTAAATTAAATATGCAGCTGGAGTACTGCTTTCAGAAGGATCTGCTCGATTCCCAGCTGTCTAACACTCATCATGAGTCTGGTTTAGCTTTGCTAGGGAGACGTGAGCCAGAAACAAATCCTGAGGTGGCCCTTTAGGATCAGTTTGTTTCTTTTTACAAGGCAGTGAATGACTCCTCCCCCGCAGGAAACTGGCTCCTCAAAAGAAGTCCCTTCAAGCCAGCAACTCACAGTGGATGGAAGAGTTAACTTTCCTAATAAGACTTTTTTTTTTCTCAAACTGTATGGCCAGGCATCTCTGTCAGCCTTTCAGAGCCACTAATGCTGTTCATCGGCAACTCCACCATATCCCACTGGCTTGCCCTCCCCACCCTCTGCAAGGTAATGCATAAAGGCAACTGGAGCTCTTGCTGTTCAAAATCAGTGTCTATGCTATTGCTTTGCCCAAGCTTCCATCTGGAGGATTTGTGGCTAAAGAACCTTAAGAAGATTATCTGCCTCTGAGAAAAACTGTAACTAGACTCTCAAAACCATAAGCTACAGAAACTATGAGAGAAAGAAAAAACAGTATGGCGCCTCCCAGGAACACAGAATATTTGCTTGGAGTTTTCTCGCAGGGCTTTTACTTAACTACTTTTTTACCTCTTAACACCTGCCTCCGTCTCCACTGCCTTCTACTACACTCTCAACTCCTCAAAGATGGGGAACTGCTGTGTTCATATCTGCATAGCTAGTGACTAGTGGGATGTCTGGGACATCACAGACCCTACTGGAGCTCCAAGGGTGGGAATGGAAAAATGAACTGGGCAGAGGTCAAGGATTCCGATTATACTGACCCAGATAAAAGGATTACACATGATGGGGCTTAGAGAGCTCCTGATCTCCTAAAATAATGTACCTATTTTTACCACTTCACAATACAAATTAAAGGTAATGCATAGAAAAGATGTTTTTGTTTTTTGTTTTTTAAAAAGGTCACATTCTAGAAAAACACATTTCATAAATCTTTCAGATTTTATGAGACCAGTGTAGAGAACTGTGATGGAAAATCTCAGATACAGTGATAAAAACATGTAGCAAAATCAATTATTTTTGTTACTGCCATTTCAAAGTCACATTATAATTCAATAGTAATAAATATCATGTTATAGAGAATAATTTAAAACACTGATTGCATCTTTGATATTTATCATCAGCTTTCCCTCAGAAACTGTCACAAAAGCAAAAATAAAATCTGTTTTTCTAAATGTTCTGAAAGGCAGACATCAGCATATATACTTTTTGTTCTTCATAAAATGGTAATTAGACTAGGTAAACAACTGTCCCAAAGAGTCAAAAGTAAACTTTGAGGTTCCTGAGGATTACTCACGTTAGCAATGTATTAATTTTTTAAGAATAAAAATGGAAAGTCCATAGATGTAATTTTAAATAATTTTGTATAAACTGTAAACGTAGTTAAGATATATTTACAAGGTCAGAATTGGGAAAGGTTTTTAACATACCCTGAGCTGGCTTTAAAATATTTAAAAAAAGAAAAAGAAGCCTTGGTTTATCTTATCCACCACCATTTTTGTATTTATTCTATAATTCTCCATCAATGCTAAAATGTTCCTTGCAAAGGGTCTCAATTCTGACACTGTCTGAATAAATTAAAACGAATGTTAAAAAGTTGTGTTTAAATACAAATGAAATAACCTGCTAAGCTGTTCTGGCTCTAAGCACACCAAAGGGTAGATATCATTTATGTGCTTTGATCGTATTAGGCAAAAATGTCTCTCACTTTGAACATCCCCATGTTCTGTTAATGTGCTTAAGTTCCATTTCAAATGCCTCTGACAACAGAGGAAAGCACTGTCAATACCCCTTTGAGAGCGATTGATTTAACCTGTTCTGTATGTTTAGATTTCCTGGTATTAACATCACAGTTGTATGAACAGAATCTCTTTTAGACTCTATCTATAAATCTTTCAAGCAAATAAGTACTTTGGCCTGCTGCCCTTCAGAGCAGAGCCCAACAAACAGTGGTCAGAGGATTTCAATTAGCCAAGGCTGGCAAGTAATAGCAAAACAAGAGCCTGAGTATATGAGAACCCTGGCATCTGCATTACTCTCAATTTAGGTCACTGCCAAGAGCAAGCTGACCTACAGTCCACGGTTAGCCAGTCAATGTTTTTCTCATCCAACAGTTATTAAGGGCACATGGAGTTTCATATTTAATTATATCCTGATCTGTTTACTATTATTTCATAAAACAAAACAAAAAAATCTCCCAAAGTCCTTGCTTTCTAGTAGCTCTGGGTTTTGTCACCACCATCTGTAAGAAGGGCGTTTCTCCACAACTTGCAAAGGACTACTACCCTTTTATTTTGACTATTCCTTCCACTTTTCATTTGGGGAGGATATACATATACACACACATATATATGTATATATATACACACACACACTCTTGCTGTGGTTTACTTAGCTATGACTTGCTTCTTGTAGGAAGCTGATGAACTATTCTTCACAATATTCTTTTGGCCATCATTTTCATCAGGGACTCAGACATGCTCAGTGTCCCTACCAAGAACCATTCACTGCGAACCACTGTGAACGTGACCAAGGTGCTTCAGCCAAAACAAATCCCATGTCACAGAAATCACAGGTCTGAAGTTCAAGGGAAAAAAAATCAGCAAGAAGAATCCATAAGTCTCTGCCGGACATTGGCCTCTCCATTATTTGCATTCTTTTCACTGGGTACGTTCAAATCTGTCAAAATTGAAAACAAGTCATTTATGACAGAAGTGTACATCTGCACACAGCAGGAACTATCAGCACTAATCAACTATTCTGAGATAAATCTGTATTATATTCTTTGCTTTACCATGTTTTGTTTCAGAGCCAAATTTCAAAGCATGGTGAAATTATTTCAAGGCAACAATTAAATCAATAAACTTTCAGTTAGTTTTGAAAGAGACAGTCAGAGAAAGACAGAAAAGGGGATTAGCATTACAGAGAGAAAAGCCAGTAAGACAAGACAAAAATAAGCGAGAGGGACCACAAGCAGGACTGCTTGAGCAAGAGGCACAGATGAGACCAAGAGTGAATGAGAAGTAAGGGAGCACAATCAGAAAAAGCACAGACACTTTCCTTCTTTGGAAATATGGGGCAACACCAACTCTCTTCCCCTCTCCCAATATGCAAGGATTTCACCTAAGACCACTCTACGAAAATGGTTTAACAATGGCAGGTAGGGTAAAGATTCTCAATCATTCCTAAAATGCGGCTGTAATGGCACTCGATGGGCCCCCTCAGCCTCTGCCTGCAGGGCTAACCCTACCTTGGAGCTCGGCCATCTGGTTTTCCTGCTCCCTTGCCACTGCGCTTGGAGCAGGCTGGGGAGTTTTGCTGTCGACAACATCCATCTTGATCATGCCAAGGTTAGTCAGGAGTACCATCGGGTCAACTCCCTGACCACTGCTTTTGATATTTTCCAGTATCTTAAGACACTTGTATGACTTGAGTTCACTTATATTCTCTTCCAGGAAAAGATTGTATAGGCTCAAGTCATTGTACCCTTCAGACTTGAAACGCAGAATATCAAATGTGGGCAGGATCTCATATACTTTGAGAACATCTGTCTTCTGTCGGAATGGAACAAACAGCGTGTAGATAAGGACAGGAGCCAGCAGAGCATAAACTGCCAGGTTAATGAAGCTGAGCAGCTGGAAGATGCCCACTGCGATGAGTTTGCACTGGAACTGATCCGGGACAGTGCTGTCATTCTTCAGGATCCCTGACTTGATGCTGCAGACAAACTCATCCGAGAGTGAGGAGAGGCTGAAGTAATAGCCCAGGTAGATACACGCTAACAGTGTAATTGTGAGTGTTAGCACCCGGCAACTGAGGTACTTCACTATTAAATTATTAGAGTTCTTCTTTGTCTTCAAATACTGCTCCACAATGGGGTACTTGAAGTGGCTTTCAGGTATCTCCCACAAACTAAAAAAGGAAACAAATAAAAATAATTCAAACCCTCACCAAAACCATCACATATTAAAAGCATAAACCCATTCAACAATATGACAATAAAAATCTCAAAGGCCTCCCTTCCACTTCATTAGAGTACTAGAGAATAAAATCAGGTTAAAAAAGAAAAAAAGAAACAAAAACAGAAAGAAAAGCAATAATAAACCACTTTTCCCATTAATATTTTAGAAGGTCTAGTTAATTAAATCACTACCCATCTGTCAGTTTGTTGTATCATGGTGGCTTGTGTGTTGCTATGATGCTGGAAGCTATGCCACCAGTATTTCAAATACCAGCTGGGTCAGCCAGGGTGGACAGGTTTCAGCGGAGCTTCCAGAATAAGACAGACTAGGAAGGTCTGGAAATGTACTTCCGAAAATTAGCCAACGAAAACCTTATGGATCACAAAGAACATCATGGAACTTGACTGCTTTGGACATGTCACCAGGAGGGATCAACCAGCAGGGGAGGACAACATGTTTAGTGAAGTAGAGGGTCAATGAAGGCATGGGTGAGACGGATTGGCACAACAGCCACAACAATGGACTCGAACATGGTGGCGACTGTGGGGATGACGCAGGACCAGATGATGTTTCATTCTGTTTTACGTAAGGCCTCCACGAGCCAGAGACAACTCTATGGCACCTAACAACAACAGTTATTTAAATGAATTAATACATGTAAATTCTTAGAACAGTGCCTGACACTTGGTAAATGTTAAGTGCTTTGTTAAATAAATTTGATAGCTCCTATTCTGAAGCTTTAAGTAACAATTTTCTATTAAATTGTGCAGAACAAGGTAGTGAAGAATTTCTGGGCCCAACTAGAAAACATACTGGCCTCCTCCAGGTGAGGGGTGGGAGGCAGACAGCTCAGTGGGTGTGTGCACAGGTCTAGGACCAGACAGATGTGGTGGAGGTCTTGGCTCATCCACTTTTTTTTTTTTAATTTTATGGTGTTTTAGGTAGAAGTTTATAGTGCAAATTAATTTTTCATTCAAAAATTTATACAAAAATTGTTTTGTGACATTGGTTGCAATTCCTGCAATGTGTCAAAACTTTCCCCTTTCCCTTTCCACCCTGGGTTCTCTGTGTCCACTTGCCCAGTTTTCCTGTCCCTTCCTGCCTTCTCTTCTTTGCTTTTGGGCAGGTGTTGCCCATTTGGTCTCATATACTTGATTGAACTAAGAAGCTCGTTCCTCAAGTGTGCTATTTTTGTTTTAAAGGCCCGTCTAATTTTTGGCTGAAAGACGGACCTCAGGAATGGCTTCAGTTCTGAGTTAACAGGGTGTCCAGGGGCCACAGTCTTGGGGGTTCCTCCCATCTCCGTCAGACCAGTAAGTCTGGTCTTTTTCTGTGTGTGAATTTAAGTTCTGGTCTGTATTTTTCTCCTGCTCTGTCAGGGACCCTCTATTGTGATCCCTGTCAGAGTGGTCGGTGACGGTAAACAGGCACCATCTAGTTCTTCTGGGCTCAGGCTGGGGAGGCTGTGGTTCCTGTGGTCCATTGGACTAATATTTTCTTTGTGTCTTTGAGATGTATCTCAGATGGCTGCTCACAAGCTTTTAAGACCCTAGGTGCTACTCACCAAAGTAGGATGTAGAACACTTTCTTTACGAACTACGTTATGCCAATCGACCTAGATGTTCCCTGAGACCATGGTCCCCAGCCCTCAGCCCCAGTAACTTAGCCCTTCAAGGTGTTTGGATGTGTCTATGAAGCTTCTATGACTTTGCCTTGGTCAAACTGTGCTGACTTCCCCTATATTGTGTGTTGTCTTTCCCTTCACTGAAGTTAACACTTGTCTACTATCTAGTTAGTGATTTCCCCTCCCCACTCTCCCCTTCCTCATAACCATCAAAGATTGTTTTCTGCGTGTAAACCTTTTCTTGGGTTTTTATAATAGTGGTCTCATACAGTATTTGTCCTTTTGTGACTGATTTACATGACTCAGCATAATGCCCTTCAGATTTATACCTATTGTGAGATGTTTCACAGATTCATCACTGTTCTTTATTGTCGTGTAGTTTATTATGCCAACTGACTTAGGTGTTCCCTGAGACAATGTTCCCCAGCTCTCAGCCCCAGTCCCTCAAGGTGTTTGGATGCTCTT